TTGTTGTACAGAGCGAGTTGCATCATCGCGCATTTATATGCAATATAATTTTTATTACCGTCGTAATGGAATGAAAATTAATTGTCAGTGTCGAATAAAGTTTACGATATTCCTATCGCGCACGTCGACTCGCTTCTATAAATCTGACAAGGTTAATACAAGCAGCGCCTATAAACACATATACAACATGTGTGTACGAGGTATGCTTCTATAAATATTCGAAAAAAATAAGCTTGCAAACAGCATCGCTTTCACGTGATATTTATATGCGCCGCTAGTGACGAAATAGATGCGCAAACGCCACAAAAACATATATTTAAGTTTCACGATAGGAAAGAAAAGAACTGATTTTCGGGTCGTCTTATCACACTTCCTTACGTACGACAGGTAGAAATGGACATTGCATGCAAAATTGTTAGTTGACGCAACTTGGTCAACGTAAATATTGTTCAGTTGCAAAAGCGCGATTGGCTGCTAGACTGAGTCAACTGTACGCACATAAAAAAATTTATTATTTATAAAGTATAAAGTGTACAGGCTCACTATAAAAATTCTCAATGTCGTGAACGACGGGATATCAAGCCCAAGCAGGTTGTGATTACTTGATAAATTCCAACAAAATTCAAACGTTTCGATCAGTGTCTGATTATCTCCAGTAAATATAAGATATTAATTCGATATATTCGATATGCAAGAGTTTGGTTGAGGTCAATATTAAATTTATATAAATATTCAAATTCCTATTAAGCGACGTCTTTAATTCAGATAAACAGCAAAAAGATAAGAAATTGAAACGCTTACCTCAGAGACTGTGATCATTATGAAAAGAAATTAACATTTGGTGAGAGAGCGAACGACTGTGGCGAAATTCGTGTGACATTGGAAAAGAAAGGAACAAGGAAAAAGAGAAAGATGGAGGGAGTGGAAAAAGGGGAGAGGAGGGAGGAGGAGGAATCTGAGGAAACGCAGGCATCTGGAGAGAGGAAGAGATGCTGAATTAACGGAGAAAGAGTGTTGAGGATAAAAATATATGCTTCAGATAGGAATGTCGTATCACGTTGCTTATTTAATCCAAAATTTTGTCGATTTATATCATTTTCGAAGTTAGTCTCTTATAGTATGAACGTTCTGCATCTAAAATCTTGACATTCTCCCAATCAAACTCGTGATTATGTTCCAAGCGATAACGAGTGATCACAGAAGAAGAGCTACTTTTTTTAATGTTAGATTTGTGTTCTAATAACCTTGTCTTGAGTTGTCTTTTGGTCTGCCCTTACGTAGGATGCATCATAATCTTGGCATGAAATTTGATAGACAACACAATTATGAGACAACTTATCGAGACAATCCTTATGAGTTTTAATGATATGTTTAAAATCGCTTGCACGAGAGTAAGAAATTCTAAAATTGTGTCTTTTCGTTAGCGGAATAAACTTTTGACAGAGACTGACTCCACATAAGGAATGGTGAAAAATTTTATGTCTAAATTGCTGTCAACGTTATTGTTGTCCAATTAGCTACTCTCTCTAAAAAAGAGATATCTTAGTCTTTCACGGATATTTGTAAAGATGACAGGAAGCGGATATCAATTAGCAAGACATTAATCACCTTCGTTAAGTTTTTTTGGTGGAAGCAAGGATGGGATAATAAAACAGGATCTTTCCCTCTCCCCAGATGCCTGCGCTTTCTCCTATTCCTTCTCCCCCCTCCCTCCTTTTTTCCACTCGCCCTTCTTCCTCTTTTCCCCTTGAGAATTTATTATTTATCTATGATTACACTTAGATACGTGTTTAGACTGAAATGTAACTATGGCTTCTTAAAACGATACTGTAAAAATATTGTGCCACGCGATGAAAGCAATTAGCGATTAGATGGCAACGTAGAACAAAAAAAAAAGATAATAAAGGTCGTTCGGCGGAAGTTCTAGAATATTCTACAAAAATAAAAGCACGGACTTTTTTGTAATGGAGATTCGAGTTTAAACAAACACGACATATATTTCTCGAAATTACAAAGGACCGTACCCCATCAACGTCCCACGTCGCGCGCTAACCACGACGGCAGCGACGACAACGAATCGTATTCAGAGTTTTAGGTGCACCGGTGCATTTGCATAATGATAATGCATTTGCATAATCACGATGATAACTCGAGGGTGATCCGGTCGTCGTTGTTCGTTCTCCTATCGCGGCATGTACAAGGTGTCCTAATTCCGCGCCCATACACTATGTATGTTATGTGAGAGTCATTCGCAGCATTAAGAATATTTTATAATTTCTGTTAGTTATGCACTTTGATAATCGAGTCGTAAATTCGGATTCCGAAGCAAAAATTGCTTGAAAAATTAATTGAAAGCTAAAATGTATGAAGTTGCTAAACTTGCAAGTTAATTCGCGAATCAATTTGCAGCTTTATTTTCAATCGCTCGTAACCGAGCATGTTTATAAAGCGGTCGTTGACTCGGAAGAAAGGAATTTGGGCGGATTTGCGGTCACCCTGTGCATTGAGGTGCGCGTCTTCGCACATACGTGTCGCGCACACGCGAACGGGACAGCCGTAGAAACACGCTTACGCATTCGTAGAGGAGCAGTCAACCTTCTCGATCGGTCGAACACACAGTACACGCATAGACGGACGTGGCGTAAAAGGTCGCCGTACGCGCATGTATGAGAGTGAAATAGCTAGCAATTTGCAGGTTTACGAGTTATTTCACAATGGCTGCAAAGTATAGTGCTACAGTATTATACTGCCGTGGTAGCTTGGACGGACTAGCTGCACGGTCAGCGAACGAGTGCAACGAATGCGTGTGGGTGCGTGCGAGCGAGCGCGAGAAGGAAGGGCCTCGTATGGATGCGTCGTTGTCGAGTCAGGTATCCACCCGATCGGCGGATTACTTTGTGTACGATAAATAGGCACACAACGACCGCTGCCTTACCGTGAAACAAGTTCCTATGTTGTTCTGTAAAGTATGCAGTGAAAAACTGCAGTCTGTCTCGTCCTGTTTTAAGACAATAATCAACTGACCGTAAACCTGTCCGTAAGTTGGATGCTTATAATGTGTCCTGCTAACATGTAATTTTGGCTGCTTTTTTAAATGCCTTAAATTTTTGAAATCCTTGAAATCGCGGAGGGACATTGTGAAACGACGCGTGAAAATATCGTACAATTCGCTCTTAAATTTGCAGGTGCGAACGACGCTTGATTCCAAACGCGGAACGAAGGCGAGGGAGAAAGGGAGGAAACTTGGAGAAATTCGCGAAAAAAGAAACGCGAGAGCGCGGTGCGCGAACGATTACCGATACCTTGAGAAAAAGAAAGAGGACGAAGAGTAAAACAGACGAAACCACCATCGCCCCGAAGAAGAAAGATTAAAGAGCAGCTTGTACGCCCTCGCCGGAATGATGGATGCGATCCGTGAGATGCGGGGCGCTGCTCGCCGAGTAGGTGGAGACTTCTATTTCCATTCCCGCGCACGTTGTTTCTCGTTTCCCTACCGCTCGTCTTTTGCGCGCGCCCGTTTATCCGCGCTGGCCCGCTCGTTGTATGCTTTAATCGATGATGCCCTGTTATGCCGGCATTTTAAAACGAAAAAGAAGAAAGTTCCTCATTTCCTCGTTAGAATAGCGATAGTATTTTTCAACAGTGTTCCGAAAATAAAAACGTAAAGGTACCTGTTCGGTAGTTTCAACGTTTTCCGAAAGTATTAGATACGTGAAGGCATAATCCGTTCGTTATAAAATTTTATAGATTTATCAGTCCGCAAAAATGAATCACCGTTGGAGCTACTCTGAAAATCGCGATATGGCCGTCCGTCCGGCGAAATCGGTTTGTCACGCGGACTGCGAAAGGATATCGGCGTTTTGCGGGCTCGCGCGCGCGAACAACAATCTAAATGGTAATTCAATACCACACCCTCTTCGCAAAAACCGAAAATCACGGGTGCGCAGCGAGCGACCGGGCCAGCAGCGCCGTTTCATACTCCATATGGCAAAAATGCGCGCGCGAGCGGACTGCACGACGGGTTGTCCCGCAAAAAGCGTTAACAAGGCTGCGATGCGAGTCCGACTAATTCTATAACCTCGTCCCCATTCCCCGGCCTCTTTTTTACGTATCTTATAAGTTATATAGCGCTATTCCGACTCCGAAATGTTCCTTCCTTCCTTCCTTCCTCGAGTGTCGAGCCGATCGTCTCGTTCTTGCCCCGGAACACCGTCAACGAACTCGCCCGTTCGGCCGGTAATTATCTCCCGCCCGTGTAAAAATAATAATTAGCTTCCAGCGTTGCATTAATTAAAGCGCCCATCTCTTTCTCTCTTTCTCTAGTTCTGCCTCTACCCGGATCGGCTATCTCGTTCCTCGTCTCGCGCCTCCCTCGCGAAGGGAGAGTTCCGCCGTAATTACACGTCCCTCGCGGCACTAACCAGTGTCCCACAAAGGTGACCGCGCGAGTTGTTCACGCCCACGACACTCGGTCTGGGCATCGCGCGATCGCGCCACGCCACGACGCGGCCACGCTATGCCGCCGAGAGGGTCGCCCGATGCTACTCCCGGAAATTATCGAAACGTTCGAGCCATTCATCTATTTCGCAAGCTTATTTCGAGACGCTTCTTCCAAATCTTCTAAACCGCGTTTCGACAATGATAATTACAGTACACTCGATCTGTCGATATATCGACAGTACAAATCGGATAGTAACTTTTCAAGATTTGAAGCTAATCGTTTTTTAATATCGCAACAGAAACTTTAAGCGAGAAGGTGTTAAAGCAAATAAATTCCCTCCCATAGCGTGTGACATATAATTTAAAGCAATTGGCGTGTTATTGGTTATATAAAGCTTAAGCTCTTATTTAAATTGAAAGACAGAATATTGGAAAGAGTGACGACTCTGGTGAAATCAAAATGTTTAATACGTTAGTTCGCTCGAGACGCGGCAATAGCGCGTTTTCACACTGGCGAGAAGCCGAGGAAGGCATACGTATTTAGCTACATAAGTACTTGCCTGACGCACCTGTTTGAATTGATCTTCATAGCTCCAGTTGGTTCCAGCCTGATGCTGATTGTTCCCTGGCATCACGTTACGAGATAGTTCAGGAGGCGGTTCTCCGTTATTTCTAGGGTTTCCTTGCGGGGGCTCTCCGTTATTTCTGGAACTTCCTTGCGAGGATTCTCCGTTATGTCTTCCCGGAGAATCGTTCGGCTGCGATTTGGAGGACGAAGGCATAACCATTTGATTTTCGGATACACTTCCTATGTTTGGTGCGACTGGCGAGTGATGATCTACGATCTGTGAGATCTGCTGCGATAACGGTGGCATATACATTGAAGGTGGAAAGATGTTGAAAGGCATGTGTCCGCTGCTCATTGCATTCTGTAACGCTTCCAAACCATTTCTACCTGGCAGTTCGACATCGCCGTTCTAAAATCGTTAAAAATTACCAAACTTATTAAAATTGAACAAACGCTATTTAGACGCAAACAATTCTTATAAACTGATAGAATAAAATTTTTTTACAAATACGAAAATTGTGCTTATAATCCATTGTTTTTTTCACTCAACTTTCGAAATTTAAACAAAATTTATTTTTTACTAAGAAATTTAATTGCACGTGTAAACTCTGATTATCGTAAACTTAAAGTACAATAAAAAGAAAATTTTGCTGGCAATAATTAAAGTTTTTGCTGGTGAAATTTTGAAAGAAATTTTTAAAATTTCTATGCCGAAATAAACGTTATTGTGCGCGAACATTCGACTCTGATCTCTTATCGGAGTGCCAATCGTAAAAATATTTGCACTCGCCCGGGACCTGCCATCCGGTTTAAGTTAATGCGTAAAAAAAGAAATCTATTGTCGCGATGACGCGATGGTAACACATTTATGGCTGTCAACGTCCGCTGTTATGACTATCTTACGATTTTCTACAATTCGTGTCGCTCCACCTTGACACTTTAGCGAGTCAACGAACGCTCTAGTCTGCCTTGCAAGTTTTATGACGAATTATGCTGCTGCTTATCTTTACGGAAATTCAACGGCGATAAATAAGAGGTCTTGACAATAAGACTATTTTTTTAAATGTATGTGGCAACTCCCTCTCGTTGGCGCCGTTAGCCGTGTATTCTCGGCGGAATACAAAGCAAACGCCGAAAATTTAAAAAAGTACAGAGGAAAAAAAGAAACGTTTTACTAACCTCGGACAATTTAAACTTGGGCAGATGAAACGCTACTGGATTCATATAACCGGTCAATTGTGCCAATGAAGCTGCGGTTGCAGGATCCAACGGAGATTGCGAAGGAGGATTCGGAAGTTCTTCCCCCTCATCTGGGACATCTTCACCCCCTGAGTCCGATTCATCATTTTCGTGAAATGACTGAAATCATAAGAAAGAATATAAAAATTAAAAATTATTTACTCAAACTGAACAGATGCATGCTATATATGCTGTTGTCATCAATATGATAAGATATATTATAAAATTTATGAATATTCTTTACGGATGTTTTCGTATGATAAAATCTCCTTTTGTTTGAAACTAGTGCGAGTTTCGAAAACACGAAATACTCGATGTTGTAGTCCGCGAAAGAAAAGACGAAATTTGTCGATAAGGTGATATCAACGATGCGAGTTTAATCGCGAGCAAGGAGGGCAGATAGTGAAGCATTAAACATTAATTAGGAAAATGGCGAATGCAGTGAGTTATATACACTAAGATAGCCGCTATCAAGTAACATTATTATGCTACGGGTGTCATAAGTGTTTTACGGCTGTGCCCATTGCGCCGGTGCCGGCATAAAAATGTGCAAAGTTACATTAGCAGAAACGGAAACGACCATCGTAAAAAAAAGGAGATGGACGTTTCATATTTCTTCCTTACCTAGAATTAACCTCAACCTCTCAATAAATGTCTGATGACTTTTAGATACGACAAATATCTTCGATCACGTATATAACACGTGTTTATTTTCTGTGCGTATCAATTATCAGCAAATTTCCGTTCTTAGATAGTCTAAAATAATATAACTAAAATTATGCGGATAAAGACAAATAAAGTCACACAATAGATATGCTAGATTAAATAAGGAAGAGAAGTTCATAAAATTTTGACTTTAATAACCACTTAATGTATTTTATACCTTAAAATGTTATTCAAATGAAAGCTCGAGAAGCGGCATTCGAAATAATATTTGACGAATCCACGGGGAGTGTTCTTTCATCTAATGTAAAAATGCACATAGATTCATCAAAATTCTTCAATAGTTGAATACACGATCTTTTACTTGAAAAGGGCGGACATGAACAAACACAATATCCGACATCTTCTACATTCTGATGACCTGATATCCTGGATGCAGGTAAGTGCATAAATATTAAACCCAATTTTAAATGGAACTACAATCGGACATTCAAGATGGACAACTCCTTCTGTCGGCATTTTGAGCACGTGTGATAATATTGACTTTCTACAAAGATGGTCAGAAATGAATAAGTAGCAAAAAAACAGGATCCTATTTAAATACGAAACAAGTTCGTTTCTCCGATTTCGATCGAGTCAGTCAAATAGCTATAAAACTCGTCAACAGTGTTTTCTGTCGAATAAAAGTTCAGAATTAAAATTAAATTGAATTCGCTAATATTCATAATTTTATACGACAGAAACGTAAAGTTCTTGCGGAAGGATTGAGAGGCGTATCTTGAACAAGATTCAATATTATCGAACATCGAATGTCAGCAAGTATGTTATATGTGTCAACGTTTAAAGACTTCCTCCGATAACGCATCGTGAAAGTCACTGTGTCGGAGGCAAACATAGTTATGTAAAAAATATCGTAGAAATCGCCGCATCAGGGGAGGCGTGAAGATAAATTACGGTGAGGTTAAAACTACGGGATGTTATTCACCGTATTGCAAATTATATCATTCGAATGTGTGTGAATAGCACTGTCACTACAACAATCATGGTGAAAGCACGTTCGGAAAATTTAAATCGTTTAGTGCGATGAATGCGACAAAAGAAATACAATGACCACCCGAAGCGTGAAAAATGCCGAATAAACACAGTGGCTGCGTGAAACGCATATGTACTTTACGGAATGCAGCCATTGTTTAGTGCGGCCCGCACTAAATTAATTGGCTCAGATCTGGTTGAAAATGCAGCGCTGATGTGTATAAATGTGCTAATTTTTAATGTTGCTAAAATTCCAATGTGCTTATTTTTGATGTATTAAAACTTGAATTGAAATGAAGCATGTGTACATTGAGAAAAATGTTTCTGTTTGATCCAACAAACCGTCTGTTCGATTTTGGACAAAACAGAACAGGTGTTTTGAACATTAAACATGTGTTTATTCGGTGCTTGTGACTTTTTGGGTGGTCATTGTACTATTGTTTTGTACTTTTTGTACCTTTCTTTTGTACTATTGTTCTATATACAATACTATTATACTATTATACTATTATATTCTATCCATTTTCTATACATTTAAATCTGTACATTTTATTTTCTTAATTCTATAAAAGAAAAATCGAAGAAACAACTGTCAACTCCGCAAGAAAAATCCATCAATGACAAAAATGAAATAAATACATAAATTACCTAAAAATACCTTAGGTCCTGAATAGATCCGGTCTTCTATTGAAAATTCGTGACTTAACATTATTATGACGAGGAAACAAGCCTTCATGTGCTCAGCGACTGTCCTACACAGGCAGGGTTGAGACACAAGATGCTGGGCTCAGCACTACTTGGGCCCGAGCAGATCAGGAAGCTGCCGGTGAGGGATCTGATTCTCTTTTGGAGAAAAACAGGTCTCTCATGAGTAAGTTTATGAGGGGAGGCACAATGGACAATGTCTGGGTGCCGCGGGCGGTGCTTCGAAAGGGAACGCCCCCCCCCCCCGTTATAATATTATTATTATTATTATTATTAACATTATTATACCTTTTCTTTATTTAATAGCCGAACTTCCGGCTTCAGAAATTATCGATCAAAGATATTCATCAATCATGTATCAAACATAGCGTTATACGTTAAATACATTTTCGTACATTATGTAGTACAGAACTCATTTCCTCCTCCTTGTTTCTTTCTCCACAGTCATCGTAGAGCACGGCGGTGCGGTTTCATGAAGACATTTTAACGAGATTTAATATATCCTAGGCACGACAATAGCTAAATTTACCGAAGGCTAAGCCGCGGCGCGTTACCCCTCGCAGCCACTGCAGATAACTGTGTCTGCCGTGATTTATCGCCACGCCGCCACCATATCCGATTGTTTTATTGTTTATACCTTATAGTTTCCACGCGTCGCGGGTGTGCTCGCGCTCTGCAACAAAGGCTCGTGGGTGCGTGCGTGCCTGAATGCATATGTGCATGCGTACCCGTGCGTGTGCGTTATGCCTCGGCGCGGCCTGTAAATCATCGCCTAAACGCTCCGGGCACTGCAGACGGCGCGGCTCTAAATATTCTAATTACTGCAGAACTATCGCGTTTAATCGAGGGACTTTTGTTAAATGGATATTCGCTAATTTCGATCGTTAATACGATCGTCCGCAATTCTGCGCGAATATATCAATCCAGACGCATTGCAATTGGAAAGACTTTTTTTCTTTCATCAATTTAATAAGGATGCAATTTACATCAATATAATTGTCAGTCATCTAATTTATAATAGAGAAAAAATTTTAAATATATATATTGCTTGTTCTTGTTCTAGATATTTGTTTTGCCGAAGAAAAATTTCTGTCGATAAATAAAAGATAACTGAACTAAAATTAATGTTAATAAACCGTTAACGAATCGAATTTCTTGACTTTTCTGTCTAGAACGATAAACTAACGTTTTAGCGTTATTTTATATTTAAATAATTATATACAGCTTTTGTGACTATAACAACATATATGCGGTAATAAAAAGTATGAAAGTAATTTTTACACGTGCTAATTTATTTCTTCAAGTCAGACATCGTATAAATAAATCTTTTATCACAGTTCGAACAATTTTATTCGCGACGGTTTTACGATTAATGCGAAACTTTATTGCACAGAAGGGAACAAAAATGATACTTCGTTTTTTTTTCCGTCATTTCTGGACCGTGTGGTCTTCTTGCAATAAATCTATAGTACAGCCCGCGTTTTACGACCACTGCAATTACGGTTATTGTGACTGCAAAACCAAGGATGCGCTTACGCCGCGAAGAACTGATTCGATGCGTAACAATTAGATGCGTAAAATTCACCGACAGTTGGAAAACAATTTTCTGCATATGTAGGTGCGCGACACAAACTGATATCCGAGTGTGAAAGTATGGACCTACTGTTAAAACTGTCCGGTTGAAGTATTTGGACGAGGTTTTATGGATTTCGTTTTACATACATACGTTTTAACTAACGATTAGATATGATATGAAAAATATAATACCTTGTCACAAATGTTATAACAATATCGCCATCGGCGTAAAAAAAAATGTGCTTTTCTCAAAATTTTACATATGACAAGAAATAAAATATTTCAGAGCGTAAAAATAAATGAGAGCCAGCGCGAGAAACAACGATGAACAAATCGACGGACGTCGTATCAGACATCGGAATTATAAATTATTTCTGGAAATAACGCACGATAAATGTGTAAAAACGCTTTTACGTATGTGCATATTTCACGATTTCGCTATACGCGATACCATTAGATATTACTAAAAATAAATAGTACAGCGAAACAAGTATGCAAATCAACAGATAGATAAACGGGCGACTCCTGATGGCAATCGCAAAGTGCTTCATTATAAACATGCATAGCGTACATACAAACAAGGCAAAGCAAAGTATATATACGTCTTTGAAAAGTATAATAAAATGGTAGCGAGGCAAATAACGCGCGATAAATGCGGGGGCATGTGATATGAACGATCGTCATGAACCATTTGTTTTCTCGTTACGCAAGCAACTTTCTAATTTTTTTTACGTTATCACACATTGCAGTTTCGTCAGCGCTCCGTACGTTCGCAAAATCTTTATTACCAAGCGCCGTATAACTCAACGAAAAAGAACGGAGGAATATCTGCATAGCATAATGCAGATAATTCCCGATGTGTCTGCAGTCAAATGTGCCGCGTAATGTGCGAACGCGTGAAATAGGATGCGTTATCGGGAACGTTATCGGGAACGTTATCAAACTCATTTCCTTGGTAACACCAGGTATGAGTTGTAAGCATATCGCGCTGAT